ATTGATAGAAATGTAATCTGGTTATCCAAACCTTTAACCATTGTGAGTCTCGAGGGCATAGGCAATGAGTTTGGCAATGGGATATGCTATCGCAGCAACTATTCCGTATACAACATGAGTGCCAATTGCTGTAAGAACATATTGTAGTTGCTTCTGGGGAGGCAAGTCAGTGAAGTGTAGTTGTTAAGAGTGTGGTGTTGTGTGCCCCTGGGCATGCTCTCTTCCATGGGGACACAAGCACATTTCTTCTGTTGACTTATTGGGCATATATTTGGATTAGATGAATTCCTCTCCCAGTTGCCCATGCAGCTAAGGATCACTGGGTTACCATGCATAGTTTGGGCATATATCCAGGAAACCACTGAGGCAATTGACTTGGAACAGGTTTCATTGGCCTTTATTGTTTAGTCATTTCATTCATGCCTGACCCTTTGTTACCACACTTGAGATTTTTCTTGGCAAAGATACTGGAGTGCTTTGCCATTTTGTTTATCAGCTCATTTTACAGATGAGGAAACTGAGACAAACAGGGTTAAGTGACTTGTCTAGGGTCACACAGCTAGTGTCTGAGGCCAGATTTGATCTCAGAAAGATGAGTTTCTGACTCCAGGCCCAGCACACTATCCACTGTGCTATCTAGCTGTCCTTTAGTATGCTACTGCCAGTAACCAAATAGTGGGAAAGGGGAAAGGAATAAGCCTTTATTAAGTATCTACCGTGTGCCAGGTACTGCACTAAGCACTTTATAAAAACCTCATTTGATCCTCACAATAATCCTAGATTGCTAGGTAGGCACTATTATTATCCTCAATTTACAGTTGTGGAAACTGAGGCAGAGGTTAAGTGATGTACCTAGGGTCCCACAGCTTGTGTCTGAAGTCAGAATCAAACTCAGGTCTTCCTGACTTCAGGCGCAGTGCTCTATCCACTGACCATCTACCTTTCTAGCTGTCTAATCCTATCAATTCTTGGGTGTCTTTTTTTGTTTCTAGGGTAGGCCATGACTAACAGTTCATCCTTTACAGGCCAGGGTATATATTCCACTGAACTCAGGCCCACTGGGCCCCCTGCTTGACGGTTCCCTGAATTTTATCAGGTTTTGTTATTGTTCAGTTGTTTACATCGTGTCCTCATTTGGGGTCTTCTTGGCAAACTTAATGGAGTGGCTTGCTATGTCCTTCTCCAGCTCATTTTACAGATGAGGAAACTGAGGCAAACAGGGTTAAGTGACTTGACCATGGTCACACAACTAGTAAGTGTTTGAGGTCAGATTTGAACTCAGGTCTTCCTGACCTGACTCCAGACCCAGTGCTCTATCCACTGTGCCTCCTAGGTGCCCTTATCAGGGTTAGTATCCCTGTAATCTGTGCTTTCTACTTTTCTTTTTCCATTTGAGCGACCAGCACAATGTCATCTATGTAATGGAGGGCTGTAATGCCATAGGAGCAAGGGGGCCTTGGACATGGTTTTTACCCAATGGGGAAAAATTGCAGGGTTGTTTAAGTAGCGTTAGGGTAGGACAGAGAAGGTGTTCTTTCCAAGACAAGTAAAAGCAAATTGGTCTTTGTTGGGCCCCCCCCCCCCTCCTCTGAGAAGAAATGAAAAGAATGCTTTTGTAAGCAATCCCATCACAAAGAGAATCTCTCATCCAGGCCACTGAATTTTAATAGGGGAGGAGACCCTGGAGCTGGCCCCTAGCCTCATATCTAAGGTCAAGTCTTTGAAGTGAATCAAGTCAGAAAGTAAGTTAAGTCACTTTGAAGTGAGTCAAGTCGGGGGAAGGCGTTCCCTTTCAGTAACTTCTGGCAAAAAGTCCTCCAATGGACCACTTCCCTCATGTGTTTGAAAGGATGAGATGTCCTCTCAGACAATGCTGTAAACTCCAGTGTAATCAAGGAATGTAGCTGCCCCCCACCCCCACCCCCACCCCAGAGTCATCATTCATTCAGCTGTTCTCCATCTCTTTTCATAGACCTCTGCCTTATGTTATCTAACTCTTTCACTCTAATACCTCAGTTGTCTTCTTGTATCTCCCACTTCAGTATGAATCTTTGTCATTACTAGTCTCTCCTCCTTCTGTATAAGTCTGTCATAGTGGGAAGGTGAGGGCAACTATTTCCTAAGAGCAGGAGGCATGAGAATAAATGTTTCCTTTGATTTTGCACTGAACCCAGTGAGCGAGTAAACTCCTGTGTGGTCTGGGGAACTAATTCCCTAGATTAATGAGCTCCCGCATAGCACTTCCCAGGAGCCCTGCCTCCTCTTTCCATGAGGAATCTTTCCAGTGCTTGGGGATCCTCACTGTCTTCTTAGATCCTACAGTTCCACACTGTGGATATGGCTTGTGAGGAGATCATGAGTGAGGTACTGAGAAGGCAGTTGATTATTCATAGGCATGGAAGTGTGCAGCTACTCATCCTTTTAGTTCCATGGATAAGCATGAGGTGGTGGCATGGGAATGTGGTGGGATGTGCACCCTAATGGATGGAGAGCCCAGAGCTCTAGATCTCTGCCCTTATGACTAATTGTTGTTTCTGGATATATTCCCTGAGACTAGGTGGGAAGAGGGCCTTTGGGGAAGTCAATCAGTGGGTGGCCTAGAGTTCAACACTCCTTATTGATCAAGAGGTCATTGTGATTAGGCAAGTTTGCTAACCTTGAACACTTGAATTAGGTGAAGTTTACTAAACTCATTATGATCGGGAGGGCTTTGCCAAAATTCTTTGCCTCAGTGAAGCTAAGACCAGTACTTGGGTATATTGGAGTTTCCTGGTTTAAAGTTGGATCAGTGAGTGGCGAAACATAGAGTAATTTCTATTAGCTGGAGCCTAGCAATAGGCCAGTTCTCACAACAGTATTCAAACAAATCAAAATGTTGAAAAATAGAAAATATAAGATATATATCATCAAAAACAATTGACCTGGGGGGCAACTAGGTGGCACAGTGGATAAAGCTCTGACCTTGGAGTCAGGAAGACCTGAGTTCAAATCTGGCCTCAGACACTTGACACTTACTAGCTGTGTGACCTTTGGCAAGTCACTTAACCCCGATTGCCTCACCAAAAAAAAAAAAAAATTGACCCACCAAAAAATGTTGAGGAGAAACAGTTTAAAAATACTGAACGGACTCACTGAAAAATATGACCAAAAAAGCCCCTTGGATACCATATTTCAAGAAGTTGTAAATGAAAATTAATCGCATTTATTAGAACCAGTGGGCAAAGTAAAAATAGGAAGAATTCACTGCTAACCTACAGAAAGAAATCTTAAAATCAAAACTCCCAGAAGTATAGCCAAAATCTAAAACTTCCAGGTTTAAAAAAAAAATACAAACAGACACAAAGTTACAGTTCAAGTACCAAGGAACCATGCAAGATCTGGTAGTTACTACTTTAAGAGAAGGACAATCTAGGAATACTTTATTGCAAGAGGCAGCAGATAAAGGCTTACAATGGAAAATAATCTACCCTTCAACATTAAATATAATCCTACTGGGAAATAATAGACCTTTGAAAAAATAGAGGACTTTCAAGTATTGCTGATGAAAAGATGAAAGCTAAGTAGAAATTTAGCAATTAAAGCAAAGGAGTCAAAAGAAAGCTAGGAAGAAGAAAAAAAAAGCTAAAATGAGTCTCACAGTCTTCAAAAGTAAAGTCAGGTCAGGGTATAAATGAAGGGATTTGATGGGAATCACTACGAGGAGACTTGGGGGAATAAAACTTTTATTACCACCACCATAACTTGGGGGAATAAAACTTTTATCCTTACTACCATGATTCACCTTTTGGACACAGCCCTCATTTTACAGATGAGGAAACAGGCCCAGAGAGAGGGCAAATGCCTTGGCCAAAGTCACACAGGCCTTAAGTGACAGAAGCAGGATTTCAGTGCTTTTAATTTGTTTTGGCCCAGGGAGTACCACATAAGCCTAAGGCCATCAGCCCCATAGATCATGTCCTTTCCTCCAGCCCTTGATATTCTTCCCCTTCCATTGATGCCTCCTGCTTTTCTGACCCCTGTGCCTCTGATTCCCTCCTTAGGAATTCCTGTGCTCCCCTCACTTTGTGCACAGTTCCAAAGACACCAGAGCCAAGCACTTTGAGTTTCCTCAGTTCTGTCTCCTTGAAAATTCGGGCCAAGACCTTGTTGGCCTTTTCACCAGGGTCCAGAGGCTCCAGGCTCTGTAGGTGACAGAGGGGAGCAGTCAGGAAAATCTCTTCCTGGGCTGAATCTTTTCTCATCACCCCTAGCCATGTTCTAGAGGGACAGTAATGAGTGGACAGGGAAGTAAAGCCCACAGTGGTGAAAGGAAGAAAAAATAGTTACCCTTTTTCAGAAACATCATAAACATGTTGGGAGACAGGAAATACTGAAAGCTTCTAGGATTGGAGGTTATGTAGTAAGGGCTCTAGCAGAGAAAGTATCATTTCCATGGTGTCAGGGATCATGAGAAGGTGTTAATAAGAATTTAGAGGGAAATTTTCCTGTGTGTGTGTGTGTGTGTGTGTGTGTGTGTGTGTGTGTGTGTGTGTTGTGGGGAGGGGGAGGGAGAGAAAGGAAAGAAGTCTATTTAGATGATTTTCTCATATATCATTTTACAAGGTACTCTTACATATATCATTCCATTGTATCCTTATAACAATTGTGTGAGGTAGGGCAGATCTTATCCCTGTTTTACAGACGAGGAAACTGAGGCTTTGCTCAAGGTCACACAACTAGTACTATAAGCCAGTTTAAGTTTTCTTACCATTGTACCACAGTATTTCCTTGAAGGGAGGGGATAAAGAACTGACTAAGAATGTCTTAACAGTATGGTGGATAGGAGGTCTCCATTGGGAACTGTTGGGGTCCTTTAAGTCCAGGAAGGAGTATTCACCTCACCCCGCTCCAAGTAGCACCTCATTGCTCTCTTATTCTGGATCTTCTACCCTCGAAAGTAGAGCAAGGTAAGTAGCAAGACCAAGGTGATCACTATCAGCCCTGCTACCACAGCTAGGCCCACAGCCACATGGGTCTTACTGCAGGGCAAAGGAAACAAGGCTTAACCTGAGAATGCAGCTTCTGTACATAAATTGTAGCTTCCTACAGTACCCATTAAGGAAGTTGCATTGGGTCACACAGACGCCCCCTCGACTGTAGTTTCGACAGGATAAGCACTGGCCAGGACCAGGTTTCCAGCAACCCCCAGATGAGCACTGCAGGTCACACACTCGACCCTCTGCCACTGGAGAAGAAGAAGGAGGAGAAGTGGGTCAGAAGAGCCCAACTCAGTCTGCCCACCAAATCCTAACCACTGTGCTTGGCTTTGGGTCCCACAATCTCCAGTTCAGAATCTGTTCTCCCATTCACCTCCCCATCCCCTTGGAACTTCCATATCACCACTGCCTGCCCCCCTCAGGCCTTCACTTCTCCCTTACTTACCACAGTCCTTTTTGGGGCGATTGTGCTTGATATCCAGCCTCCCTTCCTTTGGTCCCCGAAGCAGCCTGGTCCAGTTCAGAGAGTGGTGGTAGCAGAGCTGCTTGTTGGCACTGATATAAATACGCCCAGCACTGACTTCTTTCAGGGACTGAAGGCCCAGCGATGTCACATTCACGTTTTTCATAATCAGCAGGGAGAAACCTCGACTGGGGATGGCAATGGCAATATAAGGAAGGAGGCCCCAGAGAAAAAGCTTAGGACCAGGGGGCCATGACAACTGAGTGGGAACTGTTTCTTTTTGCCCGATGACCCCCAATTCCTCCTACTTAGTTCTCAGAAGGCACTGTGGGTAGGCCTGATGCCAAAAGGTGCCCCCCAAGAATAGGTCCTGTGTCAAACAATGCTGGCTTCCAAACAGACTTACTTGTAGAGACTTCGGCCACCTATGGTTGTCAGGTTGGAGAAGACACTAAAGTTGTGCATGTGGGGGGGCCACGACTGGATGTTCAGGTAACCTGCAGAGGAAGGGAACTTTCCTAATGGAGTCTGCCTTCTTTCCCCTCTGCACCTGCTCACTTGCTTGTGTCTCTCCCCAAGTAGCTGGGATACAGTTGCTCCTCCCTGGGGTCCCCTGCCAGTGTTCCTAGTCTGCTTGTTTCCCTGGAGACACATCCCTTCTTCCCTGACCCCACTTACCTGTAATCTCCCGAACTGTCTGGAAGACATTGAGTTTCTCAGGATCCAGGGCAGGTATGTTGTGCCAGGGGTCTCTGGGGAAGATGAGGAAAAACATGAGAGTTTTCTCCAAATTTTTTAAGATGAGCTGAAACAAGGGATTAGATCACAATTTATTCTAAGGACCAGAACTAGGCTGAAATGGGTGAAAATTATAGGGATTAAATACGAGTTAACATAAGAGCTTTCCAACAATTTTCCAACAATCCAGCATTGGAATAAGCTGCCCCCCCCAACAAAAAAGCACAAGGAAGTGTTTGAGCCCAGGGGAGATAAGCATCTATTAGGGATATTAGAGAGGAGATGGCATTACTGATGTCACACAATCATTTCTTTTGTAAGAGTTGGGGTGAGGAGGTGGGTAAAAGTGTGGAAGAACCCAAGAGGGGCTTCAAGAAGAAGAGAGTCTAACCCTTTGAGGCCAGTGATAAGGAAGTCCAGATTTCCCAAGATCTTGGTACAGTTCACAAACCCATCGATGTTGCTAGAGTCCACAGTCTGAAATCGGCTACCTGAGCCTGTCCCCTCACAGGCTGCAAACATAAATGGGATGGGAAGGAGTCAAAGGAAATTCAGAGGGATTTGATGGGAGGCACTAAGAGGAGACTTGGGGAAATTAAACTTTCTTCCTTACCGCCATGACTGACTCACCTTTTGGACACAGCCCTCCACAGGGCTCACACATCTTCATCCCATTCTTTTCTACCTCCATCTTGTCCCCAGGACAGGCCCTGACACAGGATGTGTGATCTATCACAAAGTTATCTGTGCAAGGGAAGAAGATGGGAAGAAAATGAGAAAAGGCAAATCCCACCCTCTGTCAGACCTTCCTAGGATTTAAAGCTGAACAGGACTTAGGAGGGCATGTCCTCTACTCCCTACATTTGACAGATAAAGGAACTCCAGGCAAAGAGTTGAAGTGACTTAAGAAGGCCATAGGTTGTGACTGGCAGAGCCAGGATTCAAAATAAGGTCCTCTGACTCCCAACCCAGAGTTCTTTCCCCTCTGTAATACACTGGGGACAGAGGGAATGCTTGCCCCTCCTGCACCTTCAGGTGTCCTGATTGCCTGCAGTGGAGGTTCTTGCAGCCCCCTTTATCTCATGTCCTTGGCAAAAGTCCCTTCATCTCCTCCCCAAGAGTCCCTCATAGAGGAGTCATCAAACATGTGTCTCCCTTTTTTAACCTTCCTCTCTAATCAACTTGTCACCATCCCCATGGACACACATCCAGAAACCCAGAGAGTGACTTTCCCTATTCCTACTCCACCAATCTCTGCCCAGGTTTCCTTTCTCTACCTCTTGCAGCCACTTACGGGGACAGCTGGCCACACAGACCCCTCCATACTGGTACTTGGTGTGAGGATTGGGCTCTAGTTGGAAGGTGAGTTTGTTGTAGACAAGAGGCAGTGGGCACAGAGACACACAGGCTCCACTATCATTGAAGTGTCGGCATGCCTAGGCAACAGGGGGGAGTCAGGGTGGAGGAGTACTTGTTGTCTACTCATACATTCCCCCAGCCGCCAGGCCTCCCCCCCCATACTCTCCAACACTTGGTATGCCAGGCCAGGGCATACTAAAAAGGGCCCTTCCCATCACCCCAGTACATACAAAGCAGTCTGTCTCTCGGGGACCTCCACAGCCACCTGCACACTCATCATGGCAGCACTGGTTGGGATTGGGCCCAAAGCAGTGGCTGTTGCATTGGGGAGCACAGATTGTCTTTGTCACTGTTTAGGGAAAGAATGGTAGAAGGCATGACCACCAAGATCTACCTATCCCCTATTCACTATCCTCCCCACCCCCTTGCCTATTCATTACCCTTCCCCCAACTCCTGGCTAGCTGAACTCACACTAAAGTCTTCATACTAGCTAGCTCAAGCCATAGGGGAAGATTTAAGAAACTGAAGTCTCAGGGTTTAAGAAAGGTACACACGTGTTTGGCAGTCTCCTGGTCCAGGACCCCAGCATTTCCCCCCACAGGACTCATGGCAAAGGGCACCTGGTTGAGGAAAGAGGCAGAGACAAGGAAACCATCAGTATCTCTGCCCATTTCTTGTGCTGTGGTACCCTCCAAAGTGAGAGAGTTAGGAAGGACAGTCACCCTGTCTCCCTCCTGGTCCCAACTCTATACCCTCTGTCCTTAACAGCTCCTTCAAATACTCAGTCAGACTCGGTGTGAGGATACAATGAGCAGGAAGCGAGGCCAACAGAATAAGAGATTAGAGGTGAGGGTAGAGGACTACCCAGTAGGAAGGAGCTTGGTTGAGGTGATGGGCATGCTTATTTGATGTGTCCTGGGCTGAATGAGACTTTAAAGTTTCTGCAAGGACAGCTGGGAAAAGTTTTTCTACAGCATGTGATAAAGGTCTCATTTCTCAAATATATACAGAACTGAATCAAATTTATAAAAATACAGGTCATTCCCCAATTGATAAATGATCAAAGGATATGAACAGGTAGTTTTCAGATGAAGTAATCAAAGCTATCTATAGTTATATGAGAAATGCTCTAAGTCACTATAGATTAGAGAAATGTAAATTAAACCTACTCTGAGGTAATACCTCAATACCTATCAGATTCACTAATATAACAAAAAAGGAAAATGATAAATGTTGGAGGGGATGTAGGATTGTGATACTCCTGAACTATCGGTAAAATTGTGAACTAATCCAACCATTCTGGAGAACAATTTGGAACTATGCCCAAATGGCTGTAAAACTATGTGCACCCTTTGACCTAGCAATACCACTAAGAGGTTTATATCCCAAAGAGAAAGGAAAAAAGGGAAAAGGGCCTATCAGTACAAAAATATTTATCTCAGCTCTTTTTGTGGTGGCAAAGAATTGGAAATTGAGGGACTGTCCATCAATTGAGGAATGGCTGAACGAGTTTTGGTGTATGATTGTAATTGGATACTATTGTGCTATAAGAAATGACAAGCAGGTTAATTTCAGAAAAATCTGGAAAGATTTATATGAACTGATACAAAGTAAAGTGAGCAGAACCAGGAGAACATTGTACATAGTAACAGCAATATTGTATGATGATCACCTGTGAATAACTTAGCTAATCTCAGCAACACAACGATCCAAGACAATTCCAAAGGACTCATTATGAAAAATGTTACCCACTTCCAGAGAAAGAACTGATAGAGTCTGAATGCACATTGAAGCATATTATTTTTCATTTGATTTTTTTCATGGTAGGTTTTTTTGGGGGTGTCCGTGTTCTCTTTAAAATATGACTGATAGGGAAATATGTTTAGCATGATTGCACATGTATAACTTATATCAAATTGCTTACCATCTCAGAGAAGGAGGAGGGAAGGGAGGAAGAGAATTTGGAACTCAAAATTAAAAAAAAAATTAAAACTTGTTTTTACATGTAATTGAGAAGAAAAAATAAAATATTAGTTTTTAAAAAGAGTCTACAAGGGCCCAGATGAATGTGCTGGGGTTATGGGATCTGGGTGGACAAAACTACCAGGGAACCTGAAGGATACTTTTTGGGACTTTCCTGAGGGGAAGGAATAGCAATATTGAAGTATTTCATCCTGGAAATTTATCCACTTGTAGGATATGTGGGTCCATCCTGGGGCCTGTGGAATATCATGAGGGATGAACTTGTTCAGTGTCATGGACCTAGGGTTAGGGCACTGAGGATGAAGATTTAATGGAGGGGAATCTCCTTTGGAGGGAGGACTTAATGGGAATGTGGGGAAGTGACTCACAGTTTTTGCCATTGTTCTTCACCACAATCTCATCCTGTTGGTCCCTGATGATGTCTCTCCAGTCAATTGTGCCCATGTGACAAAGTTTATCATTCCTTTCAATGTAAACACCCCCAGCCAGGATCTCTGGAGGGAAAGATTGGTAGGGTAGAATTGAAATCTCCAGGACCAAATTGAGTTGCTTACCACAGGTCTTCCACACATGTCTATCCTTGCTTTGAGATTATATTTGAAAGGATACAAGGGTGCAAGGTAGATGGGTTTGGGTAGAAGAGGCCCAAATTCCAAAGAAGCTCTGTTTGGGGATAGGGGATAGGGAATGAGGCTGAAGCATCTCTTGGTTCCCCAGACACCTGTCCTAGATCTGGTTTAGCCAGTAGAAGACAGGCGGAGCAATGGGGAGGCTGGAAGATTCAGCTGATTCAGCTTTCCCCACTTCTCCAACTCCAGGCTTCCCTATTTATTTTTCAACTGACTGGAGCATGGAAGTAGGAGGGAGAGGCTGAGGGCAGGAGAAATGTGAACCAAATGATATTTAACCAGCGTGCTTTTCCCTAGGGGGACAAATACAAGAAATTGGGACTGTAGTTTGGGTGTGGGGAGGTCAGGGAGCTGGTAGAAGAAAGTCAGGGTAGACATTGTACAACAACCCCAAATGCAAAGGCATAGGCAGAGGTCAAGGCTCAAGACCAGATCTTAGCTATGACTCCCCTCAACCCCTGCAGAGGCATAAATAAGGCCTTTGTTCCTCCCTACGGACCTTGTGTCAAGGGCTTGTGGTAGTCAGTTTGGTAGTTATATATGGTTATCTGAGCTATTAAGAGTAGAAGAAAGAATAGGTGAAAGAATGGGAAGGATGAGCAAGGATGGGAAGAGGGTTGATGAGATGAATGGGCAGCTGTCAGTGACTGACCAGTTGTCAACTGGAAAGGTCAGTGTGTTGGTCATAGAGGTCAGAGTACTGTGTAGACATAGTCAGTGGACTAGTTAGCAGTTACCTGTCAGCTGATTGAGGTGGAGCTGGCGTAGGGCATGGTTGGAGTTGGTGTTATAGTTGAGCACGACAAAGATGGTAAACTTCCCATCATGGACCTGGGCTCCTCTTACCAGGTGAAGGTTGGGGAGTGGCAGAGTAGAGAACTCATTCATGGTGATTAGGACATATCCTGTCACCTCCCGGATCCACCATGTTGGGACACAGGAGCATCAGTGAGAAGGAGTGACTACATATATCAACCTGAAACACAATCTTGTGCTCCTTTCCTCTAATCACAGAAACAAGATAAGGAAGCTTTGGATGGGGAAGAAAGAGGATATTCCAGGTCTTCCAGATTCTCTGTTCTGGAGCAGGAAGCTGGAATTTAGAGATCATTTTCAGACTCTTTACCTCTGGGAATCAGGATGCTAAGAACCAGATGAGACATGATTATTCTGGTCCTCAATGCCTTCTTCTCCTGAGCTTCTTGATCTAAAGGGATCCCTCCTCCTAATACTTTGCTCTTGGGAACTCTGTTTCTCAACAAGATAATCTACAAAGGGCTCCCTCCTCCTTCCCCTTTCCCCCCTCCTGCCAATTCTTGTCCTCTTTATATACACAGTTCTTTATCAGGGAGGGAAGGTAGAGGACAGGTCCTAAGAGAGAACGGGGTTTTTCCACAGGGAGAAAAAAGGGGAACCAGGAAAAAGTTGGGAATAATGTTCCCTGCTGCCAGGGAAAAGAGGTCAAGGGTATATCTCAAGTAGAGAGTGGAGGTAATGAAAGAAAAGGAACCCGCAGGAATGAGAGGTCAGAGTTGTGATCTGTAAGCACAATTTCTAGGTTTCCCATCACCACCTCACACCACCCAGAATGCTCATTCAGGGTCTTGTACTGGCTTTCCAGATCACCGTTAACACACAGTCCTGGACATGCTGTTGAGAGAGGAATAAGAAGATCTGAGGATTTGGGAGTCCCCTTACAATACCACCACAGTACCGGGCTGTTCTTCTCGATAGGGACGGGATTCTAGTGGGAGTTGAATGTCAGATAGTTTGGGTAAGAGGAAGAGATGGGGCAGGATAAGGCATAGATATTCCGCGCCCTTATATTCAGAATTCCTGGAGTGGAAGGAAATAGACATGGGGACATCTTATCACAGGCATGAAGACTAAGAGATTAACCAAGTCTAAACTATTATTTCAGAGTTTGTTTGTTTTTTCTTCAGGTGGCTGGTTGTCCCCTAGTAGAGGGAGAAGGAAGCACAGAGCAATAACTCTCTTCTGCCCTTGAAATAAAGGTCCCTTTGGGGCAGACACACAGCTCATATTGTGTCCACTAGGATGAGAAAGGGTGGGACAGAGGGGTGGGAATAATACCCACTGCCATAGCCCAATCCACCGTGAGTTGATTTTGTCCTAGAAAAGGGCAGCCCTTCCCTCCCCCAGCCTCCTCTTGCTCTCCCTTCAAGCCTTAGACTCAGAGAGTGACCTCACTGGAGGGAAAAGAGAATGGTCTTTAGCAGCTTTGTCTTTTCAGCTGGTAGAAGATAAATGCAAGACCCCCATAAACCTCTCCCATACTTCAGTTCCTCCTTCCAATCTCTCCCATATGTTATCCAATATTGACTCCATCCTCAATGCACTCTATTCCTCCACCCCAAATCTTGGTATTTGGTATCTCTCCCCCATCATTTCTCCTTGGTTTTCATCGGGGCAAAAAAAAGACTAGGGTGGGTAACAGGAAGGAAATTTCCACGTAATATCATTTTTTTTAAAAATCAAATTTAATTTTCAGCTCCAAATTCTTTCCCTTCTACCTTCCCCTCTTCCCCCATTGAGAAAGTAAGAAAAACAAAACCTGTTACAAACATGTATGATCAAGTAAAACAAATTCAAACATTAGCCATGTCATATATGTATATGTATGTGCACATGTATATGTGCATACATGTATACATGTATGTGTGCATGCATGTGTGTGTATACGTGTATATGTATTCATATATACCTGCACTCTAAGTCCATCACCTCTCTTATTTGGAGGTGAGTATTATGTTTCATCATGAGTCTTCTGGAATCGTGGTTAGTCATTTTGTTGATTAGAGTTCCTAAGTCTTTCAATGTTTCTCTTTACCATATTATCATATAAATTATTCTACTAGTTTTGCTTAATTCACTTTGGCTCATTTCATGCAAATATTTCCAAGTTTCTCTGAAACCACCCCTCTTTGTAATTTCTTATAGCACAATAGTATTCTGTCACATTCATGTGCCATAAATTGTTCAGTCATTTCCCAACTGATGGGCAGCTCTTAGGTTTTACAGTTCTTTGCCACCATGAAAAGAGCTGTTATAAATAGTTTTATACATATTAATCCTATGCCTCTTTCTTTGATCTGAGGTAAAACTAGAAGTCATATCATTAGGTTAAAGGAGTTTCAAATTGCTTTCTAGAATAGCTAGAGTGCTAGATCAATTCACAGTTCTGCCAACGATACAATAACATACCTGTTTTCCTACATTGCATTTGCAATTTTCCTTTTCAGATTTGCCAGTCTGATGGGTATTAGGTGGTATCTCAGGGTTGTTTTTGATTTGCATTCCTCTATCAATGATTAAGAATATTTTTAATATGTATATTAATAGCTTGGATTTCCTCTGAAAACTGTCTATTCATATACCTTGACCATTTGTCAATTCAGAAATGACTCTTATTCTTATAAATTTGGCTTAGTTCCCTATATATTTGAGAAATGAGATCTTTATCAGAGAAACTTGATGCAAAGATTTTCCCCAGTTTTCTGCTTTTCTTCTAATTTTAACTACATTGTTTTTGTTTGTGCAAAAGCATTTAAATTTTATATACTCAAAACTGTCCATTTTACTTTCTGTGAACCTCTCTATCTCTTGTTCAATCGTGAACTCTTCCCTTTTCCATAGATCTGACTAGTAATTTCTTCTATGCTCCTCTAATTTATTTATGATGTCACTATTTATATCTAAGGCATGTAACCATTTGAAACTTATCTTGGTATATGCTATGAGATGCTGGTCTTTATCTAGTTTATGCCATATCAATTTCCACTTTCCCCAAAAGTTTTTGTTGAATAGTGAATTCTTGACCCAATAACTGGGATCCATCTCTCTATTTCTTACCCAGTTACAACTTGTTTTGATGGTCACAGCTTTGAGTAGTTTAAAATCTGATACTAGTAAGCCTCCTTCCTTCCTACTTTTTTTCATTAACTCTTTTGATGCTATTTACCCTTTGTTTCTCCAGATAAATTTTGTTATTTTTTCCTAGCTTTATAAAGTAGTCCTTTGTATTTTGACTGGTATGATACTGAATAAATAACTTAAGTAGTATTGTCGTTTTTGTTATGTTGTCTCAGCCTACCCAAAGCAATGAATATTTCTCCAATTATTTAGATCTGCCTTTTTAAAATTTCAGTTTATTATTTATTTTTAACATTCTTCTTTTTAAATTTTGAGTTACAAATTCTCCACCTCCCTCCTACCTCCTCCCCTTCCCACTCAGATGGCAAACAATATAATATCAATTATACATGTGAAATATACAAAACATATTTTCATATTAGGCATGGTTTTTTAATTTTTAAAAATATTTTTCTTTTAAAATTTTTTCTTTCATTTTTTTTAAAGCAAGAAAAATAAAGTGAGAAAATTATACTTCAATTTGTACTCAGAATTCATCAGCTCTCTCTCTGAAAGTGTATATCTCTTTTTTTCATCATGAATCCTTTGGATAATTGTATTATTATATCTGTTTTTATATGTGTAAAAATGTTTTGTAATTGTGTTCATATAGTTCCTGTTCATCTATTAGCAGGTAGAATCCCAAGTATTTTATACTATCTGTAGTTATTTTAAATGAATTTTCTCTAACTTTTCCTTCTGGGTTTGTTGGTAATATACAGACGTGCTGGTGATTTCTGTGCATTTATCTTATATCCTTTATCTTGGCTAAAGTTGTTCATTGTTGTTGTGCATTTTTAGTTAATTCACTGGGGTTCTCAAAGTAAATCATCATATCATTTGCAAAAATGATATTTTTGCTTCTTCTTTCTTGTTTATTCCTTCCATTTCTTTTTCTTGGTTTATTATCATACGTAGTATTCCTAGCACTATATTTAATAGTAATAGTAATAATGGACATCCTTACTTTACCATCAATCTTTTTAGAAAGACCTTAATTTATCCTTATTATAGATAATGCTGGCTCTTAACTGTAGATAAATAATACTATTCCTTTTCAGGAAAACTCTCTTATTCTTATGATTTCTAGTGTTGTTTTTTTCTTAAACAGGAATGAGTGTTGTATCTTGTCCAAAACTTTTGCTGCATCTATTAATATAATCATGTGATTTTTGTTATTAATATTGACAATTATGTTTATAGTTTTCCTAATTTTGAACCAGCCCTGCAATCCTGATACAAATCTAACCTGGTCATCTTTGTGATATGTAGCTGTAGTCTCCATGTTAATATTTCATTTAAAAATTTTGCATCAATATTTGTCAGGGATATTGGTCTGTAGTTTTCTTTCTCTGTTTTGACTCTCCCTCGTTTGGGTATCAAGACCATATTTGTGTTACCAAAGGAATTTGGTAGAACTCTCTCTTTTCCTCTTTGTTTTTTCAAATAGTTTATTTAGTATTAGAATTAATTGTTCTTTAAATTACTGGTACAATTCACTTGCAAATCCATTTCTGGATCCATTTGTAGGACCAACTTGGTCCTAGTTTTTTTTTTTCCGAGTTCATTTGTGGATTGTTTAATTTCCTTTTCTAATATAGAGTAAATACTTTATTTCTTGTTCTGTTAATGGAAATTTATATTTCTGTAAATAATGATTCATCTCACTTAGATTATCAGTTTTATTGGCATATTCTGGGGCAAAAAGTTCCTAATAATTTATTCTTTCTTCATTGGTTGTAAATTCACCTTTTTAATTTTTGATATTTGTAATTTGGTTTTCTCCTTTAAAAAAATAAATCAAGTTAGCTTATCAATTTTATCAGGTTTTTTCCCCATAAAACAAACTTCTAGTTTTATGTGGGTTTTTTGTTTTTAATTTTGTTATTCTCCTTTGATTTTCAGGATTTATATTTTGGTATTTAATTGGTCATTTTTAATTTGATGGGTTCCTAGTTTTTTGGCTGTATGTCCAATTCTTTGATGTGCTCTTTCTCCCTTTTATTGATTAAAGTGTTTAGAGATATAATTTTTCTCTTTAGCACTGCTTTGGCTGGATCTTAATATTTTTGGTATGTTGTCTCATTGTTGTCATTATCTTTAATGAAATTATTGATTATATGTATACTTTGTTGTTTGACCTACTCATTCTTTAGGACTAAGATATTTAATTTACAATTAATTTTTAATTTTTTTTCAAAGGCCCTTTATCAAATATAGTTTTTATTGCATTACGATCTAAAAATGATGCATTTAACCTTTTGATTGTTTTGCATTTATTTGTGAAATGTTTATGCCTTGATCAATTTTTGTAAAGGTGCTCATGTACAGATGAGCATAAATATACACCTTTCTATCCCATTTAATACTTCAATTCCAATTCAATAGTCCAGAAGTCTTATCATATCTAACTTTTCTAAAATTCTATTCAGGTTCTTAATTTCTTTTTTTTTTTAAATTAGATTTATCTAGTTCTGATAAGGGAAAATTGAAGGCCCTCACTATTAGAATTTTAGTGTCTAATTCTCCCTGTAACTCATTCAACTTTTCCTATAAGAATTCATATGCACCTGTGTTTAGTATTAATATTGTCTGTAGTACTGTTCAGCAAATGTATATATCTTTCTGTTTCAAGTATGTTTCTTTTAAATAACATATAGTTGGATTCTAGTTTCTAATCCATTTTATCTTCTTTCATTTTATAGTTGAGTTCATACCATTCACATTCACAGTTATGATTACTAATTTTGTATTTCCCTCCATCCTGTTCTTTTAAACTTTTTCTTCTCTTTGTTTTCTAGCTCCTCTTCAAATATTTGTTTTACTTATGACTAATTCTTTTCTTAGTTTACTCTTCCTCTTTTTCCCTACCTACCTTTCCCTTCTGTTTCCCTGTTGGGTGAAATGTATTTCTGCACTCAACTGTGTATGTGTATTCTTCTCCCCTTTGACCAGTTTAGTGGAGATTAAAGTTCGTGTGTTTCCCACCCCACCCCCTACTTCTTCCTCCTCCTAGTTATAGAAACCTCTACTGGTGCATCCCATTTATTTAAAAGAATTTTTCCCACCTCCCCCCACCCACCTAGTGTATTTCTTTTACCCACTATTCTTCTTTTGAAATCATCAAAACATTATGGAATCACTCCCAGGCTCTCTTTCGAACTCTCTCTATACTCCCTGATGATGATAGTTCTGAGGGGAAACATGTATCATTTCCCCATATAAGAATGTAAACAGCTTAACCTTGTTTAGGCCCTTATGATGACTTACTTGGTTTTCCTTTGTATGCTTCTTTTGACTCTTGTGTATGTTAAACTTATTATTTTCATCAGAATTGCTCAGAAGTCCTTGTTTTCATTCAAGTTCATTTCCCCCCCTATACGATTATACTCAGTTTTGATGGTTAAGTTATTCTCGGCTATAAACCTAAATCTTTGGCCTTCTAGAATATCATTCCAAGCTCTCTGTTCCTTTATGTGAAGGCTGCTAAATCATGTGTGATCCTGATAGTGGCTCCACAGTACTCAAATTCTTCTTGGCTATTTGCAGCATTTTTTATTTGAGTTAGGAAGTCTGGATTTTGGCTATAACATTCTTGGGAGTTTTCATTTGGGATTTTCTTTCACATGATGACCAGTAGATTCTTTGCAATCTGGTGCTAAGAAATTTGGCCAGTTTTCTTTTGCTTTGTTTTTTGTTTTTTGAAATGTGATGTATAGGCTATTTTTGGGGTCATGGCTTTCAGGTAGTCCAGTGACTCTTAAATTATCTCCCATCAATCAGTTTTCCGGGTCAGTTGTTTTTGCTATGAGATACTTCACATTTCTTTCTATTTTTTTCCAGCCTTTTGATTTTGAAACATGTTTTTTGATGTCTAATGGAGACATTAGGGAACTAGATGTACAATTGAAAGTGCCAGGCCTGGGATCAGGAAGATTTATCTTCCTGACTTCAAATCTGGCCTTAGATACTTACTATCTGTGAGACCCTGGGCAAGTCATTTTACTCTGTTTGCCTCAGTTTCCTCATCTGTAAAATGAGCTGGAGAAGGAAAATGCAAACTGCTCAAGCATCTTTGTCAAGAAAACTCCAAATTAGGTCACAAAGAGTCAGACACAACTGAAAACGACTAAACAACAATAATGGAGTCATTAGATTCTATTTGGTCAATTCTAATTTTCAGGGTGTTATTTTCTTGGGTAAGATTATGTTCATCTTGTTCCAAGCAATTAATTCTCTCCATATCTTACTTCCATAGCTCTTATTATTTTCCCATTTCCCCCCTCTATTGTTTTCATTTGGTTTTAAAAA